GAATATCTAAATTGAAATATTATTTTATCAACCATTCGTGCTGCACCTACATCTTTGTAATGTGGGTTTAACAAACAAGCAGTTAAATAAATTTGAGGAATAGGAAAAAATATTTTAAAATTTTCAATCATCTTCTTAACAGAATTTTCAAATCTTGGTTTATTTTTGAATTTATAAAATTTACTAGAAATAGCACAAATATTTGGTAAAACAGAGCAAATAGTTGGATAATAAAGTCCAGAAATTTTTTTGTACCTAAATAAAAAACTTTTAAATATTTTTTAAGTTCTTTTACGTCATTCCAATCATTTTCATCAAGCCTATAGTTCACATTTGAATTATGAGCATTCCAAACCATTTGTAAAGGTTTTCTATATTCATAAGCGACTTGAAGCTTTTCAAATAAAGAATTTCATCTAGTACACACTGATTTTGGATTTTTTCTAGGTGGAAGATTAAATTCACGATAACGATTTTCAAATTCTCTATGTCTAGACTTAACTTGACATTTAAAAATAAAATGACGTGCAGTTTCACATTTTATGCAACCATCATTATGCATTGATATACCATCTCTAACAATCAAATTATATATGTGTGCAACACACCTAATATGAAAACCATCAATATAAATAGGGTAAAAAGTCGGTTGTAGTATTTCAACAACAGATGTATTATTAGAAGCATTATCTAAGGTAACACTAATTATTTTATCACAAATTTCATAGTTTTGTAAAACATCTACAATAGTTTGAGCTATGTAACTACTGGTTTTATGCATTTCACAATATTTATAACCTAAAATTCTTTTTTGCATAATCCAATTTTCATCGATCAATGTGCGCTAATAGTGAAATAATCATTACCATTTACACTACAACTCATATCAGAAGTAATAGCTATTTTACAAGTATTATAATAAAATAAACAACGAAGATATTGAAAATGTTGAGCTTGATAATCAAAGATAGCCTTTTTAATTGTATTTCTTGTAAACCCTTTAAAATGTGGATTATACACAATTTGTATATAATGAATAATAAACCTAGATTTTCAGCAAAACTAAAAGGCAAGCCAATAACAACAATCATTTTAGTTAATTCTTCAAGATCTTTTTCTCTACTATATGAGCATTGTGTACTAGGGCTAGAAACATTAGAAGAATTTAATTGCGTTTGGACCATATTAGAGCCCCCTACTCCTACAGTTGCACTAGGAAGGGTGGTACCATTCTTTTTAGCTTCAGCATGCAAAAATTCATTTTTACAATATCCCATTAAATGATTACTCAAATGTCCCGTCCCACCCTGTTTTTCCATAGTTTTATGATTCATTCTATGTTTACATTTATTACAAATAGCTTGTGTTTTATCTTCACTCTGAGTCATAAATTGCCACACAACTGATTTTTTAGCACGTTCTACCTTAGGCCTAGGATGTATGGGGGGAATGGGAGCAGGACAACGAAAGGGAGCGGGACTGGGACTGGGAGTGGGAGTAGTAGCCGTAATTGGCTCTGTTTCATCATCATCATCATCAAAAGTATCAATATCATCATTAACATTATCATGTTCTATTTCTTCATCTAATTCTTCATCAAAATTACCAAACCTTCTTTGTAAAGATTCATGATAAGGATCCAATCCAATATTACTATCAATATTAAAAACAGTTCTATCAGCATGCGTAAAATCTTCCGTATTTATTTTTACTTGTGTTACTTGTCTAGTTTTAGATTTAGGAGAACTACCGATTTTTTTATTTTTCTTGGAATTTGAGGTAAATAAATTAGTGACCGAATCATATATAGTTGTTTTACCTTTGCCAATATTTTTTTTTACCGGAATCCATATTAAAATATGAAAAGTGAGTAAATTATATATAATACGAAAATGTATGACAAACAAATAAATAACTAAATAAGTAGAGACTAGAGACTAATTACTCACTAAATAAATAAATAATTAAATGCAAATAAATAAATAACTAAATAAGTAAATTATATATAATACGGAAATTAAATGCAAAAAGAAGTGAGTTGGAATGAATGTACCAAATGTCTACTTAAAAAAGTAGACGTGTATGACCGAAAGCCGAAAATTGATAGATGAGAGTTGAATTTTGAAGCTCCAAAGACCAAACTAGTAATCCACTAAATCTTTCAAATTAATATAATTTGTAATTTAAAAGAGAATAAGAGATTAGAGACTTGAGAGTTGAGAGCGTAGAAGATGAAGAGTATTTGTGAGTAAAAATAATGAAAGATTGGGGGTATTTATAGTTAAAAAATAGGATAAAAATGTAAAATTTAAAAGTTTAGGGTATTAAAAAAAGACTTGGAGGGGGAGGGGGGGGGGAGGTAGGGGTGTTTGGGGGTTAGTGGGTGAAATAGCCGTTTGGTGGGGACCAATACCCGTTACCCAACGACTATATTACAATTTAATTTTAAAAAAATAAAAATTCCTTGACTTGAACCGGACCGGAACCGGTTCGGACCGGCACTTTCCGGACCGGGACTAACCGGCAAAACCCGGTTTCCGTCCCGTTACCCCTCCCGGTTCCCCATCGTAACGGACCTCACCGGAGCCTGCCAGAACGGTACCGATACCGGCACCTCCCGGTTCCGCTGCCATGCTTAGTTCAGACTGAGCTATGTTTCTCTTCGGTAGCACTACATTCTAGAAACTCCTTTATTTCCCTTCTTTTTGTTTTTTCTTCCAAACAGTTGTATTAGCTCTTTCAAACTTGATTTGTATTCGTAGATGCTCGTGTACTAATGTTATTAGTTTTGGGGGTTGTTTTAGATTGATTTTTTTTATTCCATATAGTATACCGTTAAAAAAGTTAATAAAGGAACATAGTTCACCTACGAGAGTGGCGAGCACTCTCACGACTTAATAGAATTTCAGGTCGTGACAACTCAATAAATTGACAGTAACAAGATTTTTTACCTGTCAATATAAATTTTTTTTGGAGAAATAGACAAGGTTTGCTGCATGACTTAGAAATTCATGTGTTTAGCAAACCAAAAAAGATCTACAAATACATATTTTACAGACTCGCTAATCTCCTAGTTAGGGGTGTACATGACCGGATTGGTTCAGGTTTTTCAAATATCAAATCAAATTATTTGTGTCAAATTTTTAAATTTATAAATCAAACCAAACTTTTCAACCTCAAGTTTTTTCGGGTTGGTTCGGGTTTTTCAAATACCAAACCAAATTATTTGTGTCGAATTTTTAAATCAAACCAAACGAATAAACCTTGAGTTTTTTTTGGATTTTTCTGATAAAGTATTCATACAAACATATAATTAACTTGTAGTCCAAATATTTTTTTAGTCCAATCAAAATACAACTATCTAAGGTGTTCTTAAGAAAATAACACAAAATATGATATGAGTGATGACACTAAAATATTCATTAAAAAATAAATAATGAAATCGTATAAAATATATATTGGATAAGGCACAAGTACCCCCTACACTATGACAAAAGACAAACCTAAACTTAATCAGGGTCCTATTACCCCCCCCCCCTCCTGAACTCATTTTCTCGTATTTTTGTGCTGATGTGGCACCTTCAACCACCCAAGTTGGTTGTGTTTTTACACACTCGCCTGCCACGTGCGTAAATATTAATTTTTATTTTTTTAAAAAAATTAATCTTTTTTTTAACAAAAAAAAATTTATAATTTTTTTTCCAAAAATATTCTTATTTTCTTTATCTTGTATTTAAATTAAGTTAGTACACCTTTTTTTTTTATCTTGTATCAAAACTTTTTTTTTACCTTTCATTCATTGTTTTTTCTCTTTTATTTTTCTATTGATTTCATTTTCTTTGTCTTTCATTTTGATTTGATTTCAGATTTAATTCCAAATGTCTTTTATTTAAAATAAGTTAATTTTGAACGAATATCAAAATAAGTGAAGAAAATCAAATAAAACAATAAAAAAATTAAAACGTTAAAATTAAAGGACACTATTAATTATTATTTTTTAAAAAATACACATAATTTTTTTAAAATAATTAAAAGTAAAGAGATAATAAATTGATTAAAAAAAAGTTTAAATTGAGAAAGAAATTATAATAAGTATTTTACAAAGAAAGAAATAAAAATAACTAAATATATATAAGTTTTAATATAAAAAATATGTGTACTAACTAATTATAAAGTTACCAATCAAAAAATGATATGTGTCCAATTTGTGCACTCATCACTTGCCTTCAGGAGAGTGTGCACACTCTCTATTCCATGTTAGCGTTTGTGGTGTATTTATTCCATTTTAAATTAGTTTAGGGGGTAATAAGACCCTAGTTAAGTTTAAGTGTGTGCCTGAGATTTCGATCATAGTATAGGGGGTACTTGTGCCTTATCCCTATTTTAAATGTCTAAACCAATGTAAAACTAAAGAACAAATATTCAACATTATTGTCATTCTTAGTGTTGAATTAAATTTTTTCTTGTTAGCACTAGAATTGATTCGATTTTTGACTTGAGCTTTATTAGAGCTACTAATATCTATGGATTATAACCTTTATTGGACCATTCAAAATTAAGTCTCAAAAAACTTTAAAAAATATGTTAAAAGATAAAAATTATGAAAACATATAAGTACTATTAATTTAGAAATTACATCATACTTTTTTGTATAAAATAAATTTTAAAATTATATATATAATGTCGTGTTGGTTTGGTCTCGAGTTGACATTTTTATGTTAAAACCAAACCAACCCAAGTATAGTCGGATTTTTTTTCCAATACTAAACCAACCCAAGTATAGTCTGTTTTTTTTTCCAATACCAAACCATTAATCGGGTTTTTTTTCCAATTTGACTCAATTTGCGATTTGATTTGATTTTTTATTCGGTTTTGTACACCCCTACTCCCAGTAAAAAAGAGTAGCATTGAGAGAATTCTCATGGACTATGTATCAGTGTGCAACAAACATAAGTTTAAAACAGAAGAAAGGAAGCAAAGTTGAGCTAGGACAGGTTGCAAACAGAGAAGAGACTTTCCTTTTGAATATTAACATTTTTGCATAGCCAACATCAAAATCTCTTCTTCTTTTTGGAATCAACATCAAAATTCTCAACCCTTAAAATCTTATACCCAAAGAAATATTTTAGTTTCTTCAACCCCTTCCCCCCTTTTACTTAGAATAATTTAGACAATGGAAATTAAACAAAAACAAAGAAAGAAAGAAAGAACATGTCAACAACCTAGATGGTTGTTCACAAAGGTAACAAAGCTTAGATTCTTCTTTGTATATTGCCTGCCTCTCTTATACTAATCTCTGGCTCCACATATAATAAATGAATAGTATGAGCATTGCCAAAGAAGTGCAACACCTCCTTAATTGGCAATCAACAGGAAATGTAGGGGATATTTGCAATAAGCGTTATCGATCATCCCAGGTATTGTTTGTGTATCCTAGCACGATTCTCTTCCCACCATAACCTGGCATGCACTTCTCCAAATTTTTCTCGGCTGCGTTGACATGTATAAGGTTATATATCAGCCTCAATCATAAAGATCATACAAATGAAGAGAGGCAGAAGTAGCTCAAAGATTAATTCTCTCTTTACGCGTTCTTCTTACTAATACAGTAACACTTCATCAAGCACATTATGATGAAAACCATAAAGACAAATGAGAATATGCTCTAGCACTAATTATGAAAATGGACAGAGTGCAACTGTAATAATAGCATTTTGAGTGTTTTTATAGGTCCACCTGCATAACTAGGTAGGTAGGTCTATATATATACATACATATATGTCCTTAGGTCATTCATAATTGTGCTAACTGATCATGAGATGAAACTAACCTGAATCTGACACGTTTGAGTTCTCGTCTGCCATCTGGTAGTGCTTGTATAGTGATGTAAACCCCAGGCTCATCTTGCTCAACCCATTCAGTTTCAAGATCACTGGCATTGCTGATAGATAGCTCTCCAGAGCGATCTGCATCTCTTGATGTGCTAGTCCTCATAGAGGCATGATCCATTGATGATATCTCTGTCTTTGTTCCACTGATGCTTGAGAGTTTTGGAGTTGAGGAGACACCACAAGAGTCATAATTATAGCGAGAATGGGTTGATTGTAGTTCAAGAGAATCTGAAGATGAATACATTGGACGGAACAAAGTATGTGGTAGTCGTTCTTTAGTCAGCGGGGGTGTCACAGGACTGTCTTCAATCGATTCGATTTTTGAACTCTATAAAAGAATAATCAAGAATATGTATATTCATGATAAAGACAAATATATATATATATATATGTAAACACCATAAAGTAGGAGATAAGGGGGTACCCACCCCGTCTTCGGATCTTGGAGGTGTTGGAAGGGGAAAAGCTTGACGATTCAACCTTTGCACATTATAAAGCTCCATTACCTTCTCACAATTCTCTGACCACCACCTTTGAGCTTGGTATTTATTAAACATTTCTCGACTATTATAACAAATTAAGAAACCACAAGTCAGAAATTAAATTTGGCTTTATCGATCCTTAATTTGGAAGATGCAACTATTTTTCCTTTAATACCACATACATGAGCTCCTCCTTATTTCATTTTCTTAAAGTTTTGTTAAACCACATTGTTGTGAAGTGAACATATATATATATGAGATAACAGGACTTCTTTGTTAAACCATGCAATGCACCTGCTAAGCTGAATGTTTAGATTATTACTCCATATGTTTCAATTTATGTGATGGAGTTTAGGCAAATTCAAAATGAATGACATCTCTTTATATAGTAACAATTTGATGAGATGATTTATAGTCATACAAATATCTGTGTGAAAAGTGCGGTAACACTAACAAGGTAGAAATGGGGAATTAAGTGGGAAGAAAAGAAAGAAAAACAAAATTAGGCATAGTCTGGTGGTCAAAATGTAAAGAGATTATAGCAAGTGATTTAATTAGTAGATTATATTATGGCGGAAGTGTCTTGTTTTGATGGCCTACCACTCACAGAAGCTTTTTCATAATTCAAGGGGACCAATAACTCAAAAACTGGCTTTATGCATGGTTTTATATATATATAAAATGCCACAGCCTTTGACTTTGCTTAGAGCACATCCTACCCTTCACCAACCAAGAATATGATTAATTTTATTTCACGGGGATGGAATGGATAGTGAGTGACTTACAGGCCATTCAACAGATTATTAACAAATACTGTTCAACAATCATTGATCAACTCTTATTTTTATATAATAGTATATGATAATTAGGAAGGTTAGACTCTAGTTTTAGGTTCAAATCCCAACTGACACAAAAAAACACTAGATGATTTCTTTCTATCTGTCCTAATTTTGATGGACATAATATTGGTGTGAGGTCCTGTGAAATTAAATGAGGTGCACGTAAGTTGACCTAGACATCCAAGGGAAGAGCCAATTTGGGGCAATGAACCCCTTCGTCAAAAAACTATTTGTTATGTACATATTGAACGTCTTTTGGTTAGTTTGTGTGTTTACTTTTTTATATTTTAAATTTTCTTAATGAAAATCTTGACTTTGTCACTGCAGACACCACGGTTATTAAAAATATAAATGAAGAGAAGATTACACTGTCACAAATCTTGTGATGTTGCACTAAGGTGAGGCCTACAATATTGAATGGCAAAAGTCTTGGCTCCCACTCTCTACTACAAGTTATTAGAACCATAACATAGACTCTTGTAGTACTAGTGATTTTCCATGCCTAAATGTTTGTCACTATTGACATTGTAATGTCGATTCAAAACAAGAATGTGATAGCTCAAGAGTGTTGTTCCCTCCATTAGAAGCCAAATTTAGAGTCTACTCCAATTTTGTGTTGAGAGACAAAACTTTCTTACAAGATGACAAAATGGAAGAATTAATGATGATCAAGATTGAAAATGAAAGGGTGTAAGCAACACCCGACAAGACGACAACATTAGTAAAAGGTTTTTGCCAACACAATCAAAACAGACCCACCAAACATTTTCTTTTTTTCATCACTTTAATTTGAAAGGAATCTTATTTTCTTCTTTTCTTTCATAATTACTACTAATTTCTTCGTATGAACAGAGATTAATAAAAGTGATACTCCATTTGGGTAGGGCGTCAAAATTTACTTTTAGCATGCTTTCTTTCGGTAATAATCACAGGTTTAACTTTTTGGAACGACTGTCTCAAACACAAATTAATTGCTCTTGACCATAACCTGTTGCCAATTTTGACAATAACCATATACTTTGGGTTTGAAAGAAACCTTTAATCACCACCCACAATTGGATATATAATCATAGTGATGCTCAGTATATTTTCCATAATTTCGGAATTGAATTGCAAAGGCTTTTCATATTTTTTGAACTCTGTGTCCGGTCAAAATAAATTGAATCAATGAAGCACCACCACATAGGGATACAAGGATCAACTAGCACATTTTAAATACAAGCTAAGATAAAATATGAATAAATTGTATCATCAAGGATTATACATTAGGGGTTGTGATTTTGATTGGTGGGATGGAATAAACAAAAAATATTCTACTCCCTCCGTCCCATTTTATGTGGCAACATTTGACCGGGCACGGAGTTTAAGAAATAGATAAAGACTTTGAAATGTTTACCAAATTGCCCTTAAAAAAATAGACTTATTTTTCTCTCTCCTAATAAATGTATTGGAGTACTCTTTTCAATATTAAGTGGGACCAACAAGGATAAAAGAGGAATTGTACCTTTAAATACTTACCAAATAAGGAAATGTGACATTCTTTTTGGGACTGACCAAAAAGGAAATGTTGCCACATAAAATGGGACGGAGGGAGTATGAGATTAGTTATATCACTTTATATATGAGATAGTTACGATAGAGTAAAATCCATAACTTAATATATGATAAAATAATTTTAAATTTTTATTTTTTATCCCATCAATCAAACAACCTATTGGAGTTTAACTTGTGTAATGATCTTTTATGTGGAAAAGTAAAGTAATTTTTTTTTTAGCAACTTCACCTAGTATTCTCCTTTCTATAGTCAAGAAATGTATCCTAATATTTTACTTATAAAGTAGCTAAACACCACATTTTTAACAACTATTTACAACTTTAGGAAATTCCAAAATATGTTGTTTACCAACCAATAAGGGGAAGACAAAATTCTGAAATACTTCCCTAGTGTGAATAAATTCCACTAACAGTCTATCTTGTAACCTATATATAAGATATATAGACGGCTATAATATAAAGTTGTTGTGTCCATGAAAGAGAAAAAATAAACAACAAAATTAATTAGCAAGTAATGGTTCGCCACTCAACAAAGTAATTAATTTCTGATTATAGTAATGGGAAAAAGAATACCTGAATCGAATCCGCTTAAGATCATTGCCGCCACGTGGTAATGAAACGAAAGTGATTAGAACACCCGGTTCGACTTGAGCCACCCACTCTTTCGGCTCGCTTTCTTCAACAAACACCACCGGTTCAGCTCTCCGGCCACTAGCTGACGCCGATACCGGCGTAACTTCCCCGCTTGATATTCCCTTAAGCCTCGCTTCCAGCTCCTTCCTCCCAGCCGTAGAGCTGGAACTCGAACTCCCTGTTCTCTTATAAGACCACCGGAATTTATCCAACGAGTCGGAGTCGTTTTTTCTGAGAGTCGACGGCTGAGTCGCACATGGACCACACTGTTTGTATGCTCCTGATGCTTTCAATGCCATGTCCTTGATCTACGAATAAGTCAAAAGTCATGAGTTAAGAATTTTTCATTTTCGGTAGAAATAGAAAAACAATGATGAGTACCTGAGAAGTAAGTGTTTTGACAGATTGTTTATTAGGCGGAACAGCATTTGGATTGAATTTTTCAGGTTGATCAAGGGAATCATCGCTCGATTGCTTCGAACGAGCTATGCACGTAAGCATCTCGCTAATACAATATCAAATTCTCTGAAATTAATTAATGAATGAATAATTGAAGAAATTGGGAAGAGGAGAGTAGGAGTCTGAAGAGATATGAAAGTGGGTAATAAGGAAAATGAAAGAGAGGGAAGGGAAGGCGCACTTTTAATGTCTTCCCTTAAATTGCGCCATCAAAGAGATTCCTGTAGCACTATATACATTAATTAACACACCCCTGAAGCAACAGTCAACTAAAATAATTTACAACTCACATCCGGACAAGATAGAATATACGCAAATTTTATTATTACTTTCTTAGATGTTGAGAAGCTGTTTTCAAAAGATCTTCGATTCAAGTGTAGTAAAATCTAAATACAAAACATAAGAAAAGAGCGTAGAAAACTTAACAACTAATACAATATAATTGAAATACAGTAACTAACGATGCAAGATATCAAAGGTAAGAAGTACAATAATAATCGGGGAAGGATTTGAGTCTCACTAGGAGTACTGATGGAGAGTTGAGAAATTAATTGTAGAGAAACAATGGATAGTTGGAAGATTGAAGATGAAGAAATTGGAAAGAATTTATTAGTGTTGCTTTAAAGAGTTGGAAATACCTTTGTCTCTATTTGCTTTTACTTTTTCTTTTTTGAAAAATATTTAGACACACAACATATATACTCCTTATCATTTTTGAGTTTGAAAAGGTTGTACAACTTAGGGATCGGTGTTGCCAGACCTGCCAAATGTATTTTTTAAAAGTATTCAAAATTTAATTTATTTAAATTTATATCATGTATAAAAATTATACATTTAAAATAACAATTAATTCACGTCTATTAAGAGTAGGAGTGTTTATACTTCGATTTGAGTAAAAAAAAATTCATCCGTATAAAAATGTTACATGTTAATATCAATTTAAATCAATTAAGGCAATTTTTCATCGCTTTAATTTTCATCAGTTAATTCAGTTATTTATTTGAATGTATGATATCATACCTCCAAAGTCCAAACACATATTAAATCGACTATATATTTTAGTATACCACTAACAAATCAATTACGATTTGAGAAAAGAAGAAAATATATATGTAATCAAGTTATATACGTAGCTTCCTTCAAAAATTTGTATGGTCCTCAAAAAAAATTATCATTTTCAACGGACAAAAGAAAATTCTTACAATAAATTTATCTATGTGCAGTAAATTAAAAATCTAGTTGTAATATATTAAGATATCTTAACGATAATTAAATTAAACAATGATGAAAAATAAAAGATTCCAAAGATCTGTTATTTGAACATCAAATAGATTTTCAAAATTAAAATTATAAATCAAACTAAAAAAAAAGGGTAAAGAATTTAATTTAATTACTATAAAGGCGAACACATATATCATTAACCAATAATACAAAATATTACATATATTATAGTTTTTAGAAAGATATTTATATAGTCATTTTGCTTAATTTTTATTTTTTTTAAACTTAAAAATATAATCAAACTTTGTTGTTTTTTTTTAAATTAAAAATCATTATGAAATCAAGTGCTTGATTTTTTGTTTGGTTTGATATTCGATTTGGCTTGAACACCCTTACTTAGAAGTATAGAAATAACTTTTACTAATATTTATTAACATGTAAGTAATATATTTAATGAAGAATTAACTAAAATAGCGACTCATATTATCAATAAACTAAAAATAAAACCATTTTACTCTTGAAAATGTTATATGGTATACCAAACATATTTATTCCTTTTTAGGGAATAGTTATGTTTATTTGTACCCACCAAAGAGGCGGAAAAAAGAAGAAAAAAATAAAAGGAAAAGGCGATTTTTTTTATTTTTTATTTAAAAAAAAAAAATAGAACTCAGTACACAAAACCTTTTGCTCTATTTGCTTTTTATGTCTCTTTCTCTTCTTCTTTTCCTTTTTTTCGTGTATTTTTTTATTTTGAATACCTTTATTAGGCATATATTCATCATCATTTTGGAGTTTGAAAAGACGGTAGACATAGGGATCCGTGTTATTTAGTTATAAAATTATTATATATATATATATATA